AGGAAAAGGCTTTTCATCTTTCGTTGTCAGCTTCGATTTGAGATGGATGTATGGGATCTTGGTGTAAACACAGGCCGTCGTACATCGTGCAACACATTGACCCTGAATGGCTGCTGTTTGTGGCAACAAAGCGTGGCATTGTTCGCGCCCCGATGAGAGAGTGGCGTCTGTAATTGGCCTGGGGGCTTCGATCCCCGATGGCGGTTTTCCTAATTAATAGAGGAGAATTTCGAAAGGCGGAAGCGGCTGCCGAGGAGTACGCTCCATTCTACCTGATGGCCTGAAGCCATCTTCTTCGAGCTTACAAGGCCTAATCATAGCCATAAATAACTCTGGTATAATACCCACTGACAGTTGAACATTTTAAATGTCACCTCTAAAGTCGGCCCACAGCCAAAATAAAATTCAATAAATAAATAAAAAACAGAAAAATCAAGACCCGAGACTCGAAATATTTGTCGAGTAATTTTTCCACATTTGGAGCTGGCCTCCCAAAAATGGTTAAACCATTTTTTTGTGTGGCTCTTTAAGCGTTTCCAGCGCGTGGCCAAATAAAAACGCTGAGATCTACTTTAGCCAGAAATTTGTTTAAGCTTTTGGGTTTATTTTTGTGCCACTTGCCGCCAACTTTGGCATTGCAAGCGCACAAAAACCTATCGTTAGAAGCTCTATCTTATCGGTTGCAATTTACAAAGATACAAAGATACACAAATTCTGTGTTTTAATTGCGTCACCAAGAGAGCTAGGGCAGAGGGGAAGTTGTAGGCTCTTTGTAAACTCTTAGGTGATTAAGGTCAGGCCGCTAATTAGCCGGGAAGAGAGACCAATAAACGAAAGTGGGTGAGTTCCCTTTCCCGGGGTGGCTGGGAATTAAGCGCCACCTTAGCGGCTACTTTGAAGTGCCAGTCGGAGAGTGCAGTGGAGCCACAAATTCAATTTCAACGAATCAACACTGGAATAGAGCTGGGTGGAGTCCCGGGGTCCCTCCCATTGTGCACCTCGGGCACATTTCCTCATTTCAATTCCCTCCCTCAAAACTTTACTTTGTTCTTGCTGGCCCGGTCACATATCGATTTCAATTAAATATTTACAAGCGAGTAACATGTGGCTGGCCACAGTTTCAATGCAATTTTTTCCCCTCCAACTGAAGTCATCTAGGTAAACAGAATTAATATCAGTTGAGTTGTGACTGAATACGACTCGGAACGAACGTAGAACTTCAGACTTCACCTGTCGTACACAGAGGGAAAATATTTGATTTTAAATGGTTAATAGTTTATTTCACAAACTGGCTACAATTCGAATCTTTAAGAATCTCTTTTATATAAAAGAATCTTCCTGGGATTTTAGTCTGTTACTTCATTGAAATTTCCATTATTACTTTACTATTTCTTAAGTAGTGACTTTGATTTAGAGTTTATATTTTTAAAAAGGGCTTCTGAATCTTCATTTTCTCGCTGTGCATGAAAAACGGCAAACATTTCTCTGTCACGGCCGAAATGCAACAATGCCAGTGCTCTGGGTTCGTCTGTGGCCGGGACACATTCCTGTGGACAATTGCACACACACGGGTCAACAGAGGTGCAGCAAACCGAAAAAAGAGAGGAATACTGCAAAAGGAATCAAGTGGAAATTCCCAGTACCAAATATCAATAGGCCAGGTTCCATTGTTCTCGATGATCCAGAGGCAGCTGCCAGATTTTAGGGTTTTCATTCCCAATGCCATATTCCCTATTTCCAGTGTCAGTGCCTATCTTGAATCGTCAAATATGTTGGCAATGTTTTCAGAAAAAATACTTCCGCTCTCCCAGGGCCAGATTTTAGTGCTGATTTATATGTGATGTAGTCGCCAGCGGCCATATCCTTATATAGTATAGAAAATATGATTTTCGAGAGAAAAATGGCTTTGAATTGAATTTTATTTTATGTCGCTTTTTACTGCACTCCACTCCAATATATAAATTGCCTTTATATAGATTTTGCTGATGCCGCGACTGCATTATGGGGATATAAGGAGCACCCTCTCCCTATCCTCGCCCTCGCCATCGTCGTCGTCCTTTTCTTTGTCTGCCATTTATCTTTCTGAGGCTGAGAGACGACGTCGGAGTCGGTAGGAAACCTGTTTGCCCTGGAGGCTTTTTCCTTTCTTTGGCCTGCCTTGTCGTTGCCTGGCTCTGCTCTATAAATCGAATCATGTAATAACATAAAAAGAAGGGAATTTGATTGATATCGTTTAGCCATTTTATGTAAGTCAAATGCTCGAACCGCAAAATTTCATTAACTTTTAGCAGCTGCCCGCATATCAAAGAGCAGATGCCATAATTAATAGCCATGTGGAGTTGGTTATTTTTTTTTGCGTTTTTCGCTATGCGGTGTATGTATAGTATATATCGTATATATATATATAGTAGACAGCTGGCCGTTGGCGAAATTATAATTACAACACTTGCGTGTCTGGATTGTTAATCGGGGATCTACGATGAGTTGAACAGGTCCGATGTTCTTTTCTATTTTTTAATTTAATGGTGGTTTGATTTTTGTTCGTTCTTCCTTTTTCTTAGAGTGAAGTTTAATGAGTCTTTTAAGCCTTGTATATTAATGGCTTTATTTATATTCTTTGCCTTGTTTAAGAAGAATTAGTTATGCCAAGTTTTTCTTTTTTATTTTACTCTTAACTACAAATCATTAGGATCTTAATTAGGCTCATTTGTAATAGTTTGTAATTAAAATAAATATTTTTGTAAGGCTTTTAATTTTCTTTATTCTAATATTTTGTTTCCTGTTTTACTATTTCATTAATTGGGAAATCTCCAATTGTTCCAACACCCATTTAAATGACCCACTTGGCAGTCGCTTAGCTGAGATATCGATTCCAATCGCCAGGCCTACATTCACTTATCAATCATAATTTCCCCTTATTCCACTTGTTTTTTCTGCTTTTTTTTATTATAAATGAAGAGCGCAGAGCAACAGCTCTCTAAGCACTCGATAAGTGCTGCGTTTTCCGCCACTTTGTGGCCGCAGAACTGGGCTTTCGGGGGCTTCTTGTTATGGTTTGAAGCTGGTTTCGAGGTTCGTTCTCTTCTCGATTTCGCTGGAGGCCCAAACGAGAGATCTCGCAATGAAATTGAAAATTACAGAGTGTGGCTCGAAAGAAGAAGGCTGCTCCAAGTTGTAACCAGAAAACAGGTTTCACGCTGCGCATGCGCCGGAAAACCCGTCCAGCGATTCGCTCTGCCCCAAAGCCATGCCAAGAAGACAATATAATGGCTCGGAGAGTCTCAGCAGCCGCAGAGCCGTTCAATGGCGCATCAATTATGTTAATGAAGCTTCGAATGTGGCTTGATATTGAACAGAAAAAAGACAACACAGAGTTGTACAGGTTTTTTTTTTTGTTGTTATCTCAAAAATAAAGCGGCCGGCTTCGGTACAGCTTTAGCCGGTTTTCCTTTGTCTCCGGCTCAGTTTTTTTTTAAAGTCTTTTCCCTGTCCACCTAAATGTCAGCTGCCAAACAATGAACGACAAAAATATCCTAAACTGCAATTTACATATGCCGACCTTTGCCTACACCTTCACGCTTTTCAGCTAAGAGACCTGCTCGGATTCTTTTCTCGTCTGGCGGAGCGCTTTGTTTATGTTTCCAGCTTGTCCAAAGATACTGCTTCTGACCCTGAGCTGATTTTCCTCGACGTTTATGACAGCCCCACGTAGCTGACATTAAATAGCTGCTGCTGCTGCTGCTGCTGCTGCCACCCGCTGTAAAAGCTTGTAAATATTTTCTGTAAGCCGCTGGCCAACGTTGCACAAAATGCCATGCAAAATGTCAAGCTGAATTTGTTGCATGGAAATACTTTTATATTGTGTGGTAAAAAAAGAGTATAGTAAAAACAAGTGGGGTGCGTATAAAAAGTGGGGTTGAACTACGGGTTGGAAAATATTTGGAGCATTTTATGGCCAAAAATGGGGCCAAAAGAAGCCTGGAGTCCTGGGGTGAACAGCAAAAACTATATGGCGATTTTTTATTTACTGCTAATTTATATGAGACTTTTTACAGCTTGTTAACTAATAGTGAAATAAGATATATATTTATTGGGATTATCTTTTACCAAGTCAAGTTTGTGGATTTAGTGTTAACAGGAGGAAAGAGGCTACATGTTCTTAAGCTCTTTTCAATATTTGAAAAGCCTTCTTTTTTACTCTCTTAACAACTCATTGTTCTTTCCGCAATCCCCACTGTAGTTCCCTGACATGTTACCCCATCTATGTACATGGCCAACTCCCCTCCATAAAGCTCAACTTGGCATGCACCGTAAAGTTATGCTTACTGATTTCGCGGTGCACTTGTCCCTGCTTTTGCAGGGGGTGAAAACACCCCCATTTTGTGGGGGGGTTGCCTTGGCAAAGTCAATTGCCGACAGTTTGCTATGTCGTTGGTTTATGGAGATTATTATTATTATTATTATGATTATGACTATTGCATTCACATTTTTTTTTGTCCAGCTTTTTATACCGCGTTTAATGCAACGCTGAGCTTACAAGAGTTTTGGATGCATGAAAAGGCTGCCAAGGGAGTAAAAATCAGGGTTGAATATACTTAGCAGGCAAATGCTTAAACTATTGGGTAACAAAACCATTAGCCAAAATACGAAATTATAGTAAATTAGGGCTTAAAATAGGATTGGGGGTGAAGGAAAGTGCCATTAATATGAAATCAACGAAATCAAAGCGAATGTATAGCAATATGTCTACAGTTTGAGGTAGCCAGGACCAAAACCAAGTCAATCCAAAACCATGCCAAACACAGAGATGCCAAAGAAGAGTCTCCAAAGATAAACAAATCTTTTCTAAAGGTGCTCTAAAGTATGCTATGATTTATTGCTGTAGCATACGGCTATCTAGCATACTTTCGGGCACACAAAGAAGAGATTTCATCAGAGATTTCCGTGACGATCACCGTTAAACTCTAGGAATTAACTAAATAGAGTGGATTCGTTCGTACCATATCGGGCCTGAAGTACACCTGTTGCGTATACATAGAGCTTTTCAGCGACGACGTCTTATCCGGGAACAGTATGCACTTCCCGGGCGTGGAGGTGAGCGCCGTTGGCTTGGGCTTCACTGTGGTGGCACTGGGTGTCATGTTCGGATGGAGGCCCACGCCCACATCGGTTTTCTGGGCGGTCAGGCTGCTCGTCGAGTTTACTTTGGAGGCGTGCGAGAGGCGTTTCATGTGCGTCCACATCTGATGCCAGGGCGCCGTCTCTTTCTAAATTGTTTTTGCCATTTTTTGTTGGCATTTATCGGGGTATAGTTGTGGTGTTGTTGTTGTTTTCGGTGTGTGTGTGTGTGTGTGTAGGGGGAAAGGTAGAAACGCGGGGCGGGGTTGAGTAAATTTTCATTTTTGGTATATATTTGTAGTTGTGTAAGAGTCGGCGGGGTTTTAGTTTTGTTTTTTTTTGGAGTTTTTTGTGTGGGTACGAAAAAAACAGAAATAAATGGGAATTTTATTGTCAATTAATTCTTTTGCCAATTGAAATTTGAGAAAAACTAAAATATATAGTTTTGATTTGCTTTATAAGAGCAATTAAAAATAGTTTTGGTTAAAACGAGACTTAAATTGTAAGGAGGAATTTGAATTTTTCAAAAATATAATTAAATTTGTATTCAGATTGAGAGAATGTATCTTGTATCTGTGTTTATTTGTCTATATACTATATTTTAGGTAATATTTAAATGTTATAAGGTTCTATTTATTAAAATATTACTTTATTGGGAATATATCTAGGCAAATGTGGTCTCAAAATACATTTCTAAAAATATATATGTATATTCTAATAATAAATTATAGTTTCCCCTTATTTAGGCTGAAAATATCATGCTACTTGGATATATTTTTGTAACATATCCGATATCAAGTAGCTTTATATAAAGCCACACGCACTTGGCACCCACTTAGCACTCAGCACCCTCTTCAACACACACACACTCCCTCCCCCAACTATGATGTCATACGAAGCCAAACGCGCTACCAATTTTAATTCTATTTGCCTGGCTTGTGTTTCATTTTCATTCCCTCCAGCAAGTGTAACTAAGTACTGGGTATGATGTCAACTTCTGGCCATTGAAAGGCGGCTCGTTGCCGCCGGCGCTTTATTGTTTTTCTTTTTAAGGTACCAGAAATTCCTGATAAGAATTCTGTTCTAAACGCCGGCCATTGATAAGCTTTGTGTATTAAATAACGACATTTATAACAATTTGCTTTGATAACGTTGACTAATTCGTTCCCAGAGAGAGAGAGAAAGAACAGAACCGAGCTAGAAATCAAATTCCAAAGAATATTTATGAGCACAGCAGTTGTTGAGGTAGGTGGACTATTTATAGGGTTGAAGAAATCGATCCATTCAGGTGAGTCATTTGCATTTGTTTTTTCTGGGAGAAGAGGGAGTTTCTAGGAATACTATTAAAATATGCATTGGGAAAGAGTTGAAAAAACTTGTTTTAAGTTCTGAAGAATTCGTATTTCACCTTTTATTATTTATAAATAAAATGAGAAATTTGCTTTAATTTCGTTTAGCTGTTTTATAAATAGTAACACCTGTGAACCTACTTTCCAGAAGACCCACTCTCCTGACTCTGTGATTGATTATTCCATTTAAACTGCAATATAGGTTAACTAGACTCCATCTACCAAGATAGATGACTGCCACAAAGAGCCATTAAATAGCGTCTGGTATGACTTGCCTAATGACGTGTTGTGAGTGCAGCGCCAAGGAGTGTCCTATTATGCCATTAAAAGCTCATAAAACAGCCAAGTCTAGGCTGGACAACACACCTTCATCCCCATAGGCATCCCCATCGCCATCGCCATCGCCAACGCCATCATCATGGTCATTATCTTGATCAACTCAATTTATGTTGGGAGTCCCAATGCATTAAGAGTTCGTGCCCTTGTAGCTAAATGCGGTTATGGTTAGGGGGTCGGTCTGGGGACACAGTGTATGTCCGTTCCAAATAGCCACAAGAACCCCCATGTGGCGGCACACACCAATACACACCTTCCACGCAGTTCGCACTAATCAAATGAAAGCAATTTCCGTTTGTCATGCAAGCAGTTGCAACCCCAAAAAAAAAACAAAAAAAAAAAAAATTAAGCGGGAAAGAGTCGAGTGCAGTGGCAAACCATAACAAGTGGAGAACGGAAGCAATGAGAACGGTCAGCCAGCAATTGCCCCCCAGCATGTATACTTGGATGCACTGGGAAAAATTGTCGGGGTAATTAGGAATTACAATATTAAGTTGGAAATGGGAAGGTAATACATGAATTTTCGTTTAAAGAACGTTTTCGATACAAAATATTTGTACTTTTTAAGAACTCTTGTGTAAATAAGGTAATCTTTTTGTAAAATAATGCTTTTTTGGCTTGAAAAATAAATGTTTAACTCTTTAATTGAAAGATTTTCTATATGCCTCTACTTGACTTTTTTAATTCTACAACTTTCCTAGATTTTCCCTGATTTTTTTCCTCTGCACTTTGCCAACTGCCTTTGAATCTGTGGGTGGGTTTCGGGTCTCTGTTTTAGGTAACCCCTTTTGGGGGCATACACACACACACATGTCCATATGTGTGTGCTTGCATTGTTGCTGTTGCCGTGACCCCTGTCTTTATTGCAGTTCTCTCCACCCTTTTTCTCTGTGTTTTTCTCTTTATAGTATAAACAATTCATTAAAACGGGAAATGGCAATTATAAAGAAATTATACACAAAGAGCAATGAATAATTTTTCTGTATTTTCTGAGGAGGGGTGTAGGGTAGGGGAGGGCGTGGCCTAAGCCACCGATATTAAACATTGTTTCTGCAGTGTGTATTTTGTGCATACTTAATGCGAAGACAGGCTTTAAGTGTGGCAAGTGCAGGAGGCTGGCAGTCAGCCCCCCACAAAGCTGCAAACTTGGGAAACAAATGCTCGCCTCACTCACGCATTCGACTTGCAGCGAAAAATGCAATAATGCAGTGTGTCTTCCCCATCATCGTCATCGTCAGCGTCATCGTCTTCTTGTGCAGCTCTCTGACACGCCTCGTTTAACCCAAAAGGGGGCGTCAATTGCATATGCAACATTTCGCTGCAACAAACTGCAATCTCGACTGCGCCGGCATGCAACATGTTGATGTAATATGCAAATCGTATGCAGCTGCCATTGTCTCGGGAGATTTCCTAAGAAACATTTCTCCAGCTCGGCTGCCGGATTGTCGTTGATGGAAAATGAGGAAGCTGGGAAAGCATCTAACAAAAGCCAAGGACCGTGCAAGTAACTGTCAGAATGTGCCACATGAGCTGGGAAATTCTGTAGAAAACACGGTTCTAAATCAGCTTAATGGGTGAAAAACAAGGGAAATAATGGCAACAACAAATTGCTTTAAGAATATAAAAAGGAAATTCTGATAAAAGATAAAGGTTTTATAGGTTTTCTCGGTATTAGAGATTGTTATTAAAAGATTTACACAACTTTTGGTTAGAAAATTATAAGAAATCATTATAAGCAAGCACATGTTCGCCAAAATAAAGTTTTTTTCTTTTTTGTAATCATAAATATTTCACAAGTTTTATAAACAGTCTTCTCATATTTTTGTATATTCTGAATTTATGTGAAAAGCAACTGCAACGTCAATATAAAAGTTCACCATATGTTTCCTTTTGTTCTGTCTGCCGATATAAAAACTCGAGCTTTTCATCCGGGAATAAATTGATCCATTTGCTATTTAACACATATTTTTCTCATCTTCCGTGGAGGTCAGCCCTTTCACACTCACTTGGGGTTAAAAAACAGACCCACCCACCGTATGCCCCTTTCTGTTACCGAATGCAACCAATTTACAAGTTGCTCCACATTATGCCATCCCCACGCACTTAATGCAATCTATCAAAATGCATTACAAAAAAAAAAAAGAGTAAATGTATAGCAGCTGGGATGCACAGGAAAAAATATTGGTATTTTATATTATTTATATATTAAATTAAAATTATATTTCTCAGGACAAATAATGTACAAATTTATTAAACCAAGCTGTTGTAACTAATTTAGAATTCTTCTAAGAACCTGCCTTTCCTGCCTTTAAAAATTCAAAGTAAAAACCTTTATAACTTTATTTTCAGTGCCTTAGTTCCTGATGTAGCTGTTGAATTTAGTGGGTCACTGTGGAGCTGCTTAATTGTGATATATCACTTTACACGCCCAGAGCGGGAAGCCAAATTGAGATATGTAAAAAACAGAAACAAAAAAGATGTACAGAAAAAGCAAGAACAGAACTTCAAAACGTTCCGACAGACCCAATGAAAAGCCTAAACCGCAAAATATTAAATGCAATTGCTCAGACCGAAAAATGTAACCCACAAAAATTAGCTTTAACGCGGCGTTTGCTCGCTCCTCTTGGTGGCAGCAGGAAAAACATTTTTCCATTGGCATTTCCCTTTTGCATTTGTGATTTGCTCTCCCTTTGCCCCCGTTTACCCAAATTCGCTGGCGAAAATTGCACTTCTGTGTGCCATTTGGTTTTTCTGCCTTGACTGGAAAATTCCCTCGCGTAACTGACAGCAGCTGCCAACCCCTAACATCCTCCTCCTCCTCCTTCTCCTCCAGAGGCAGGCCTCTCGAAGAGCCTATCAAAGCCATACAGCCTCCCATTGCCATTCCCATTCCCATTCCCCCTTTTATTTGCATTAAGCCCGGCCATTTATTTGTATATTTTATTGTGGAGCATATTTTCCGCTAAAGTTTTCCTCTCTTCTTTGCCTTTATGAATGAAAACATCGAGGGGTTGCCAGGGGGTTGGGGGTGGACGCGAAGGGGGTTCGGGAATGAAATGATTTTCTGTGTTATTTTTTTCGTCTCATTTTTATTTTTACGCATTTCTTGCGTGTCGTCTTTGCATCGCCTTTGTCTTTCCCCCCACAGTTTTTCTTTTTTTTTTCTGTCTTTGTTTTTCCCCCAAATTTCTGTTTAGTTTACTTTTAGTTTATCCGAGGGGTTTTCGGAGGGGTTTGCTCTATTTTCTGGCTGCGACGATAAGAAAAGTGTCTGCACAGTTGCGGTCAACATAAGCAAGAGTTTCATGTCTTTTGTTTTAGGTGTTAGGAAGTCATGTACATACTTTATCTAATTAAAAGAAGTATCTAAATAAATGTTGTGGTAAAAGTCCCAATTATGAAAAATTAGAAGACTTTTAAAAGCCTTTTATTAAGCACAAATTAATGTCTTAAAAGAGAATATATCTACAACTTCATCTAACTTAAAACATATAAAATTGTTTAAAAATATTCTCCAAGCCACCTTTATTTTACCTTATTTATTTTTCTTTGTCTGAAGCTCTATTATTTTGACCACAGCTGTTTCGCACACTTGTCTCTCGATTTGTTTAACAATTTTCGGGGCTTGCGTGTGCGAAGCCAATTCGAAAAAGCAAATGGCCAAAAAGACTCAAATTACCCGGCTGCAGTTTGGCTTAACCCCCTCGGAAATTCTATTTTCTATTTATTTACCTTTTCGTCGGTTACTAGGTCTACAGCTATTGTTGTTTTCTTGAACGCAGCTTGGCGGCGAGTGTTTCTATTTATGGACAAATTTATGGCCGACTAATTGAAGAAGAGGGTTAAATCGGTTGGCATGTGAAGTTCTTGATCAGATTAAGCGTGTTTTTTTTGGGAAGCGGGTAGTTAGAGGGGCTTCAAACAATTCTTTTGTATATAAAAACAAATTTTTTTTGTTTTATTATATTTATTGGAAGCAAATTGAGAATTAATATGATTTATACTTCCAATAATAAGTATTTATAAAATATCGTTAACCTTTTTTTTATAAAAATATTATTTTTAAGATAAATTATAAATATTTTTCTTTCTTGGAAATGGTTAAATCATAAATACAATTATAATTCTTGAATTAAATCATTAAATTTTCAAGTTCAGTAGCTTTAAACATTTAATAATATTTTTGTTTATTTTATAATATACTTTTTCAAAGGCAGAAACCTTTTCTGAGTCATTTCACGATCCCCAATTGATTATATCACTTTGGGATTAAGTGATTAAATGCAATTTGTGACTCATATTTTTATTTTCCAAACGGTTTTTGCCATTAGGCCGCACCTTGCTCTCCGATCTTTACTCTCCGATTTCGCCAGCAGATCATCCTCCACCTCTATTTCATCCAAAATCTCATAAATCTCCATCCAAAGAACTGACTCATACCTCGACCGGAGCTCAACTCAACCCCAACAAATGACCATTAAACATCGCGAAACAATCGCATTTGCTGACCATTTGTAAGGCCTCTCTGGGCATTCGGGCGTGTAAAATACAAAAACATGTACATACATATTTTTCATTTATCATTCATTTTTTTCTAGGCCCTGTTTTTAATTTGTTGCAAAAAACACACACATACACACACTGCAGAACACAGCATTTGCACATACTCGAGCGGAATGTGATGTGTGTGGCGCCGTTAAATTGAATTGTGCGGGAAAAGAGCAGAAAATAAATTGACATTGAGAGTGTGTAGAATTTATTGAAATTGTTTGCCTGGCACAGTGTCCCGAGGTCGTTATGGAAAAATTGTTTACAAAAAAAAAGAAGAAAGTCAGAAAAGAGATTTCTCTGGGTGCCTTCAGTGGAACCACCTTTCTGCTCCAGATGCGCCCTGAGTCTCTTGGCCCTTCTGCAACTGCAGCCGAGTGCAACGGCTCGTTGCAAGATGGACACGGACTTGGGGGTATCTCCACTCTGTGTGTGTGGGTCAAACGTATATCTCAAAGTCCGGCACGTAGCAGGGCTTTTTGCGTTCAGCATTATTTTCTGGCTTTCCATTTTGGCCCCCACTCATAACTCCCTGGTCTCCGGTCTCTGGTCTCCGGTCTCCGGTCCCCGGTCTCTGGTTACTGGGTTTTGTCTTCGCTCGACGGTGTCTGTGCCTCACTTTTGCTCACATTTCGCATGGCCAACTAACGGGCCGCGTTGTCTTTGGGCCAATGCCTTTTTAAGTGTGACTAATTATGACTCGACTGTCTCGGGCACTTGAGGTGTTATTTCACTGGGCTTAAGGCCGAGTTCAACGATCTGGGGTTTAGTATATACAAATGTATATAGGCTCCGCTAGGGGGAAGTGACCCAAAACCATTGCAGGCCCCATTGCGCCATTTGTATTGATTTCATGAGGGGAAAATCCTGCAAGATTTAGGAGACCGAAGGAGTGCAAAAAGTACAAACAGTTCACCCAAGTAAACTGAGCCAATATTTTGGCTGCAGTTTCCCCAAGAGCCGGGGAGACAGGAGACAGGAGTTGCTGGGGAAATTATGCAGGCAATTTGGCCCAAAAACTCTTACGTACAATTTGTTACGAGTTGACAGGAAGGCAAGGGGTGAGGAGCAGCTAAAAGCCCAGTCTGTATCAGGTAATCAGTCTTGGCTCGGCTGCTGGCTAAGGGCCAAACAGAATTGATGATGTGACATAAGAGAGCTGGTAACTTTGGCAGTTACTCAAGATAATCGGGAATATTTAAAGGCATTATTTAAAGATTAGATCTGAGAGATCTTTAACAAAACAAAACCTTCAAGAAGTGTGCCTCTATACTATATATTCTAAAACATATTATTAACTTATTCTTGAACACAGACATAACCCAAAAACCCAACTCGTTTTGGGTTTAACCATGATATTATCTCTTCAATCATCGTTCCTTGGGCTGAGACTTCCCCTTTTCGTATCAGAGATAAGAGCTCACCAAATCCTATTCCATTCCATGTTGGCTCATCGCTATCTACGAGCGTAACATTGTTATTGCCCGCCTAATAGATACCTATATTTCGCAATTCATTATCTCAGTTTATGTTTTCAACCGTGGCAGCGGCAAGGTGAGAGGCAGGGCCGCCTGCTACCTGAGAACTCGGTTCTGAGCTACCTGACCACTTCCACATGCGTCCGAGTATGCAAAGAGATACCCGGGCAACAGTAAGCTTTAAAGAAATAAAAATGAGCAGAGCCTAAAGAGGCTTTGCCAGATGATGAGACCCCCATAGTCTAGATAAAAACCGCCAGCGATAAGAGCGTTAACAAAATAATAACAAAATAAAAAGCATTTACATATAGCCAGAAGGTCGTGCCGGGACAGCCAGAAGTAGCCAGAAGTAGCCACGGGAGCCAGAGTAGCCCTACTCTCAGACGGTCAGTCAGTCACCTATAGCTTGGGGACGAGGTAGTCGGTACGAGGGACTTGGGACTTGGGCCATTAGTGAAATGGCCCTGTCAAGAACTGCGGTCGGGATAGCAAAAAAATGTGTGTATGGCTTATTTGGTTTAGGCCCTCTTCTCGCTGCCACTTCTATTTGCCTTTTTCCTTGGGCTTTCAGCGTGCTTCATTTGGTTTTAGTGGAAGGTAGCAGCCACTAATTTGCAGCATCGTGAAGACATTTGTTTTGGTTATGGACCAAATCTAATAAGAGCTTTATGGGGATTGAAGAGCCTGGCTATCTACTGAACATTAAAGGGATCCCTTTTTTTTATAAGGAACAGGCCTTGGTAAAAAAATATACATATAATTGAAGTTTTAAAGCTGAATGAATGCATTTCTTTGTTTAAAAGAGGCAGTAGGCCTGGGAAAATAGGCTCTTCTTTGAGCCCATAGTTAAAGCTAAAAATAACCTTCTTAAACATTTTAATTTCGAAAATGTTAAGCTTCGTCTCTTAGATAAATTGTCAAGAATTTTCATTGCCTGACTAAAGATCTTTCGCCGGCCATTTATCAGCCTTTCAAGGTATCCCAAGAGTTATTTCATGAAAAATTTCAATAAATTAAGAGATAAAATGGTGTGTATCAGGGGTCTTTAGATATTTCCAGATTCTCGAGGAGCCCACAGATGATGGGCCGCTGCGATAATGAGCCCCGGGCACTTGTACTCCGTACTTGTGCCTTCATTATCGCATCACACGCTGCCTCGATTCCCGCCTTAATTGTAATTTATATCCTAGCGCATCGCTCGCTCACACTCACCTTGGGATCCAGTATGCTACGCTCCAGGCTGTCCTCGCGATTCATGGTGGTGGCGGTGCTGCCGGTGCCAGTGCTGCTCCCACCGCAGCCGCCGTTGCCACCACCCTCGCGCTGGCTGCTCCGTTCCCGTTCGCGCTCCCGCTCCTGCTGCTCCAGCCGCAGCCGCGCCCGCTCCACACGCGCCAGGGTCGGACTGTCGAGGATCGAGGGAGCCCGCGACGGCGGCCGCGAATTGTTTGCCGCATTTGTGTGGAGTTGCTGGAGCTGGTGCTGGAGCTGGTGATGTTGTTGCTGCTGCTGCTGGTGGAGCGTCTCGAGCGTGGCACTGTTGTTGGAGGAGGTCGAGCCGGGCGTGGGCGTGGCCGATGACGAGGAGTTGGTCATGGTGGCCGTCGACGTCGTGGACGCGGATGTGGTGTGCATGAGCATGGTCGTTGTATTGCTCGGATCGTTGGGTTTAGCGGTAACCTAACTGCAACGCTTTTTGCTTATTATATTTACGAGGGGGAATGTTGCACTTTTTGGGTTCTGGTTCTGTGTTTGCTTTAACTGTGGGTGGGAGAATCGAAGGGGGGGTTTTCCATTAGGCCTTGGTTTTACAAGGGGTGGGGTGGGGGTTTTCTCATAAATAAAAGACGAGTTTTTATGGTCTCTATACGTTTTACGGGGGCTTGGGGTTTTCTATTACTTTTGTTTGAATTTTTTAAGGGGTCTGAGTCATTGTGTTGGCTTTGTTTGGCTGAAGTTTAAACTTTTAAAACGGTTTAAGTGATAAATAAAATTCAATTAGGTGTTATTAGTTCATTTTTACATGAAAATTATTATTACAAATTGAATATATTGTGAATATCATAGAAATTTTAATGTGATCTGGTTCATTATTTATGTTTTGTTTAAAATAGAGTAAAGTTAATCCAAAAATTTATCAAATAACATAGTCTAAAATTAGTAAATATTAATTACAATATTTTTTTTAATTTTCTTACTTATTCTTCCTAAGCAAAAAATATAACAAAAATGAATTCCACTTATGAATCTGCTTTAAAATTTTTAGAAATAGATAGACAGATTTCTTTCAATCCACCAAAACCTATAATAACACCCCTTTCTGTTATTCAAGAACCCCTTTGACACCTTTTAGGTATATTTATGTCTCCCTCAATTGCATTTCTTATCACTACTATCCATTCACTTAATTTATGACTCCTCTATCTGTCGCTGGCAGCCGCCAATTTCGGCTTTTTTATTATTACCATTTTCCTTTCAACAAACCCACAAAGGAGTCCAGCCAAGAAATGGCAAGCAAAAACAAGTAAGAACAAGAAAGGAAGCTAACTTCGGCACGCCGAAGTTTGTATACCCTTGCAGATATTATTTCATTAAATTTTACCTATACTTATTGTTTAGAGTTTGACAGTTACAGTTTTACATTCCCAGTTTTACATTTTCTCTACATCTACCGATCGGTTTATACGGCAGCTATATTATATAGTTGTCCGATTTTCACAAAATTTATACCAAAATTCTGAACTAATAAAATAAGCTTATATCTCAGAGTAGATAAAAATAGGTTGAAAAACAACGAAGTTATAATGTTTTTTCTATTAATTTCCCGATCGTTCCTATGGCAGCTATATGATATAGTCGTCCGATTTTCATAAAACTTTTATAAAAATTCAGAAATAATATAAAATGACCATATCAAAAAAATTGTGCAAAAATGTTGATAAACAGCAAAGTAATAATAATTTTTCTAAAAATTTATCTAACATTTGTATGGCAGCTATATGATATAGTCGTCCGATCCGGCCCGTTCCGACATATATAGCAGTGAGAGTATATAGAAGACTATATGCAAAGTTTCATTCAGATAGCTTTAAAACTGAGAGACTAGTTTGCGTAGAAACGGACAGACGGACGGACAGACGGACGGACAGACGGACAGACGGACATGGCTAGATCGACTCGGCTGTTGATGCTGATCAAGAATATATATACTTTATAGGGTCGGAAAGGTCTCCTTCACTGCGTTGCAAACTTCTGACTGAAATTATAATACCCTGCAAGGGTATAAAAACGTGAAATAATCGAGAGAAAAAATAAACCAAATAAAACCAACACAAGAGCGCAGTCAATAATTTTCACAAAACTGGTTTTCTTTTTCGGGTTTTTCGGTCTGCAAAGGCAGGTCTGAAGTCTGTTGCAGGTAGTTTTTACTTTCGCACAATAAACACTGCGTGGTGGATCGGTGGATGGGAGGGGGTCTCAGAGGGGGGTGGTGAGGGCAGGGGAGGCCACTGACAACTGCAAAGTGCAGGCCGCAAAGATACAAAAGTATCTTTTTGGCACTCGCAACGATTCTTGGGCACTTTCCGTGCCATTTTATTGGCCACTGCTGCTGGCTGCCTCAGTGTTCAGTTTTTGTTTGCCGAGTATTATTTATATTTTCTTGGCGCGTAGCATTTCGCATACGGGATGCCAAACACGTTTGTTTTCATATTTCCGCTGACATATTAATTCTTGAATTTGGTTTCGCTGGTAGTTGGTAATTGGTAATTGGTTTCGCAGCTCGTGCACACATACTTCTAGGATTTAGATTGGATTTGATTTCTGATTTGGCAGCGCGTCGCGTCGCATTTCTTTGCGGTATTTTGTTGGCAATTGAAAAAACCAATTTTGTGGTTGCAAAATTTTATTTTCAAATCGAATTCGAACTGAGTTCAGCTGAGTGTAATTCAAGTGAATCGCGCAAAGCAAGCGACCGTCCACGCGAGCTGCTCGTCGATGACTGGCGCGACGGAGAACTGGTTTCCCAGCGAATCTCGTGCATCGGCATGCGGGTGTGCCGCAGTACTTTGACGGGGTAAACAAATCCGGAATACGGGTTCCTCGGACTCATTCAAACATGTTTGAGTTGTGTCTGAAAATTCCCTGTATTTTTCCTATATATTTATATTACTATACATTCATCGTTGGTTTAGTCAGCGCTGCACTACCAGAAATTAATAAAAAAAAAAAAAAAACCGTAATCTTGTACTTCCCGGAAGCCCAAAACTTGACTTGAAAATTTGGAAAAATCGTGAGAATGATTATGTTTTATTTTAAATGATTTACTCTCAAATTTTACCATTTAAAACTACAAATATAATAATTATAATATTGCATAAACTTTATTTTAGAAACTAAATCATACTGTAAAAAATATAAAAGTAATTAAATTAGCCCAAGTTCCCCAATTTTGTTATTGTTTACACCTCCCAACCTTCTCTTGTTCGAAATATTCATAAGAATTCTCGCCTTTGGGATATTAAATTTCCCAAAACAAACTGATTTGCAACCGACTTATGCACAGCCAATAACCAACTCGAACTCGAACTTGAGAACTTCTTCAGTTTTTTGCCAGAATAAAATATTTTTAATGGTAGGTAAGTACTTATATGAGCTACAAAGGCCAGAATTAAATATGATATTTTATTATTTTTCCATAAATTTAGCAGTATAAATATTTTCAGTCCCGTTGTGTGAATTTCCCATATATTTCTAGCTTATATTCCTTTAGAATAAAACGATTTATTTGTCTCCCTTTGAAATGCCTTCAGTTTGTGGCTTAAGAACAGGTTGTTCCCTTCGCCTTTTACCGAGTACCTTAAGAGGTTTATGATCTGCCTCTTTCTCTACCTCTCCAAAAGAACCACAAATGATTGCATGTTGGGGCTCAGTTCAATGTCCCACAATCGTTTGAGTTGCGTTAATTGTGCTGCCTGAATGAAATAATCGAACTGTAGAAAGCGAATGCCACTTGACTCATTGTATCTCATTGTATCTCATGGTGTCTTATGGTAATTTCACGGGATGAGTCTAGATGATGGGGAGGGGACTCATCATCGGGTCTAAGAGAATGTCTGGGATTTCGTCTCCCCTTTCGTAACGATGATTCACAGCGGATTTCACACACTGGCACACATGCAAATTTTTGCGGTATGCGAATCACGCAATTATGCAAATCATCGGCAAATCGCTATCTGTCTTTACAGAAGACGGAACGTGCCACTCTTCTCAGATCTTGGCCAGACTCTACAAGTTTTTCGGTTTACTTTCTCATTACGGAATAGACATGCCGCCATTCATAGGTATATGTTATCTCCATATATATATCTGTTTTAGGGAGGGGTTCTGTGCTGGTCTGGCGCCAGTCATAATTTTTTAATTTCGGATATAAATGCGTTGACAATTTGTCGCGCATCGCTTCTCATGTTTTTACGTTTGGAGTTGGTTTTTTTCGGTTGTTTTTGGGATTCTCAGATTCCCAGAATTTGACGTGTTGTTCAAGAGTGAATTTTGGTTTTTTGATTTTGTGTCTGGCGGCCGTCACAAGTGGCTTTGATAACTTTATTGGCTGTGTTCTCAATGCTCCCCTGTCTGTGGCCTGTGTTCGTGTAATTTGTTGTGATTATCGGATCTTGATTGAGGGCTTTAGAAACGTGATCGAGGGGGATGGGAGCCCCAAAAAACGTTCTCTAACAGCGATCCACATTCGTTATAACAAAATTATGATCGAGGGTCTATTGTGTCTGCTCTTATCTTATCATTTTTGGATTATAAGCCGAAATAGAGGGGGAAAATTAAAGGTTTGTGGAAAAAGTGGTATCTAGAATGTGTTTAAGCAAGCCATTATAAATAAATACATATAAAATCTAATTAAAACTAAATTATTCATTAAGTTAAACAACTGATACAAGCAGTTACATTTCTTAAGGGGGGGGTAAGGTTAATTCGGTGCAAAAATGCCCACTTTTCAAAAAAATGTTGTGGCGAAACGGCTAAAGCTAGCTTAACGAATTAAATACCATATAATAACACAACATTTGAACAGTTTGTGATAAATTTTGTATTGAAAAATATTTAGAGGTAGAGGAGTTATAGGGAATCTCCCGAGTCGCCTCCAAAAAAGTTGGTTTGCGGTGTACATCCTAACTGTCCACAAAATCATCCGATCTAAAAAAATTATACCTCATTCGTTAAAGGATAAGTGTCCCTAGGTATTCTCGAAGCGTTTTTATTTTTAAAATTTTTTCCCTATTTTTTATCAAAATTTGAAGTCAAAACCCCGATTTTTGACTAAAAAATTAAGTTAATTTGTTAAATAAAAAATATAAGAAAATTAAAAATTAAAAAAAGCTCGACGAGAATACCTGTAGAATTATCTAAAGAAGTTATGTTCCAAATTTCAAACCGATGGGTTCAGTATATTTTTAGTTATCGTGTACACCGATTTTCAAAATGGCATTTTTCAGGAGAGCGCTTTAAACTTTGTGATTCTCATGCATTGAACACCAACCGACCTTCGTTCAGCTCCGCATAACTTCGTCAATTTTACTATGATTGATGTAAAACTTGGACACAATATTCTTAAGATATTGAACTTTTAAAATAAAAAATAAAAAAAAATTTACGAAAAAAAAAATTAAATACCTTACCCCCCCCTTAAGAATTAAGAAAAGCCAGAGAAAATCAGTAAACTCTATAAATATGCCTGTATATCTGCTATATTTGCTTATCCCAACACTACTAACTACTTCGAACTAATTGAATCACAAGTGAATTTATATTTATAATATAAGCCATTTATATATATTTTACTGTTTATAGCCCGCCAATCTAAGGCTTATCTAATCGGCATACATTTGTATAAACATTCGCTAATAGACACCCAAGTGTCGCATTCGAGGGGTCTTTTCATAATCATTTAAATGCTTCTCGGAGCTCTCCCCTGCCACAAAAGGCTTTGCTTTTTCTGGTTCTGTGCCGCATTTCCGTTCCGTATTGGAAAAAGCTTCGTTTTTGTTCTAACATTTTCAATGGTTTATCAAAATGCCGGCGACGCCACTACGTCTGGTTGCCATTTAAGACTGGAGTTTCTTCAGAGCTTCCTTTCCCTGTGCCCCGCTCGGCTCTGGCTTTGTTCTTTTCTGTGTGCATATCGGATTGGCCATATCTTTTGTATGCACTCGACGCATTCGAGAAGTTTTTTCCTCTTTTTTTTTTATCGCAAACTTTGGCCGGGCAGGAAAAGGCGCGTACGGACTTTGCTTTGCGCTCTCTTCCCCGTCGCTTTTCCCTAGATATATTGATTTAATCGTGTGAGTATGTAGAGATTTGTCATATGTTTTGTATTCGCTGCATAAAACAATGCAAAAGTGACATTTCCTCAACTTGCTTTTCGCATCTTATCAGCTGGCCAAGCAGCTGAGCCGGAGAATATGCTGGTTGCCAACGTCCGTCGATTCCACTTTTCTCCGTTTTCAGTACTGTCAGTCGGTATTTAATACTCCGCCTAGAGTCTGACTGGACTGCCCGATAAGCCCCACTACCGAGTTGATAATATAAGGCAAAAGAACAAGCTCCCGAGTCAAAAGAGCAAACTGCGCTCTGATTGCCAACTGACGACTGTCGATTGACGATTGCTGCCTGAGTTTCCTATAGTGATATACACTTTATATCTAGGGGTACTTGCACTTTACATATTTTTATATTTAATCAGAAAAAGAGATGATTGTTTCTTTGTAAGGAGTATTATCAGGATAACTGGAATAAAAAAAAAATACTTGTGGTTTCTTTGTAAGGAGTATTATTAGGATAACTTGAATAATTCCATGGAAACTGATTTATTAATCATTAGTAAAACAAAACTTTATAATTATTTAGTAATTAATGTAGAATAAACTATAGTTTCCTTGTTCAGAGTATCTTCAGTTCTTCAATCAAATCGATTAACATTTGTATAAGCATTTTGCTTATATTTTTCCGATTGCAAATTTCATCTTGGCAGGCTGATGATGTCTTGTTTTCCAAACAGTCAACCATAAATCACTGATAAAATTCCAAAGTATGCATAAACTGTCAGTGCATTTATATTAATTTAAATGGCTTTTTGCGGCAGCCACTGATTGTGTATTTTCCTTGTAGTATATATCAGCTTCCGCGGATTGCTCGTGGCCAGGCACTGACCATGGGCAATTAGTCAATGTGCGGCGCTTGTAATAGAAACTAATGGTTTCCCTCCCCGACAATGTCCACTCTCATTCACTCCAAATTCCCCCATAAAAGGCATTCCTAAAAACACGCATTCTTCTGGTTCTTCTAGAGAGACTTGAAAGAGACCGAGCCAATGCTGGAAGGGGTACTTTTAATTAGCTGTGTAGATTGGTCAACGAAAATTATATTAATTAATCCCAGCAATGTTAATAACTTTATCGGCGTTGACAACTTTATTGGTCGTTAGCCAAGAGGCACAACTTTGATTGAGAGTTTTGTGACGAGAACAGATTTAATAGAGTTGGACTTAAGATAAGGGAACATTTATAAGGGAATGATAGTACTTTTAAGGACATTTAACTTTGATATTTAAATACAAATAAAACTTATAGTTTTTTGTAAGCAATATATTACTAATATCTTTAAGAACATTACATCTCTATCTTGTTTGTATTCCCTTTACCATTTGCCGCCTTTAACTGGATCCCTTTCAGCCTTGACTTTATCTGCCGCTTCACCCTTTTGGTGAACTCTTCCTTCTTCACATACCAATTCACATTCCTTAACCTGGAGTTGGAGTTCTACCTGAGTCTGTGGCATTCAGGTAGCCGAGAATCGACTCATTGAAAAACTCTCATAATCTTATTAGAATTCGTTTGAGGTACATGAATACCTCATTTGAATTGGGATAGAATTCCTTTGAGTTCATTTAATTTGCCGGCATTTCTTTGACGGCCGTCTGTCTATAATAAT